AATTCAGTTGGTAGTCAGCGCTCGTGTTGTCCTCTTTTGCCTTCCGTACCTCGACTTTGTCTGTTTCTTCTAGCACATTCGTGCTCGCGCTGCAGCCCTTATTACTATGAATTCAAACCAACTAGCCCAAATCGCCATTCTTCTTCAAATCTGTGCAACATTCACCGAGCAAAAATGTGCATAGACAATCGCTCGCCTTCGCTTAAGCTCGCATAGGCCCCAGACTGGTGGTGGCTGTAAGCGTACAGAATGTCGGAAAGGCCATCGTGGATTAGGGTGACAGAAGAATTCCTCAAATTCTTGAAGACAATAGACTTGCACCAGTGGTTAAAAACCAATGGTTATATTGTAACAGTGAGGTGTGCGTAACTTCGGCGATGTGTGCTCCTCTTCTCACTCTTTCTCTCCATCTCTTTTAAACTTCCCCATCCTTTTTCCCAAGGTAGGGGGTAGCATAGCAATATTTCTAGAACACTGAAATTCCCCGCCTTTCCTTCTCTCCCTGTTCGTTGCTTTCAAGCAAAGTTTAGCGTCAGCTAATGGTCGGTAAAAAATGGCAAGTTTTCAGAGTGGCGGGGAGTTAAAATAAAATGAAGCATCATCAGTGTTATAAACATGTAAGTACAGAGTGTTTATCTTATGTAATTGATAGTCATTCCTGTGTTAGGTTAATGGTTCGAACAGCCAGTGTAAAACACGTTTTTTTTTTACCTGCTGGCTTAACGTCACACTTGATGGCTAATAGTGCGCGCTGACTGATGTTACCGGGTTGAAAGGCTCGTAATACCCCACACAATGGATGGAGGGATAACCACTGCTGTAGCTCTGTTAGTAGAGCATCAGGCGGGTTATTCGAAGGTAGCAGGTTTGGACCACGCCAAGGGCAATTTGTCTTCTCGTCCAGATCACTTCTGAATTACGTCAAAATTACCACAGATGTGAATCCCCTGTGCTTTCCTTGGCTTTTTTGTGTGTCAGTTTTATTTCTCGAAATACAAAGTTATTTCTTGTTTCGATGGAGCTTGCCAGCTGGCAACTAAACAGTAGTTAATGAAAAACACCGTCTTTGACAAAATATTTCCCTCCGGGATTCCGGCTGTACCTTTAAGGGAGCTGCACGCAATATCGAAAGCTGCGGCTCCGACTCGAGGCGCAAGAAAATCTTTCCGAATCTTCTGCAGGGACTTATCTTTTTTTAGTTTATATTTTACTTAGTCATCTCACGTGCCAACTTCTCGGAAGACAGCTCGCGAAAGAATGAGAAAATTTAATTTCTCGGTGAACAGGAGAGCGCACGCAGATTTGGATGAAAAAAAATAAAAAATAATTATTGCTGTCTTTATGAAGAGGCGCGCAGCGTGGCTTTAATGTACTGTAAATTAGCTTCCTCCACTGAAGCTCTTCAAGCTCATCTCATGCAAGTTCCTTACGAACCTGTTTAAACAGACATCATCTTAAACGACTTCTAGCGGACCAGGATGAAGTCTGAACTTATTCCCAGACATTACCACTACGCGAGTTCGTTTAATTTAACTCGCCGTGATAATGCGAGCAAAGCACTCTTCATAATTGCCTTATCTATTTCAAGCAACGCGTCATTCCGCGTGGTGCAGTTTTGACTGAAGAATGAGTCGGGATAAAAGGAGTGCTCAGAAACCTGGTGAATGCACTGAACATTTCCCAGCCTGTGGTTGTCTGTGTAGGTCAAGTCAATTAATTTTCGTCTAAGTGCTTTCGCGCAGCGGCTAGCACAGTATTCATGAAAAATTAACTCGGCTAAATAAAGCTGCAGTAAAGCTGTCATCAAAATCCTAATGAAAAGCTACGTATTATTTTGAATATGTGTATGGCTTCTTTAACATTACGATTCGAATGGAAACAGCGTGTGTGTGTGTGTGCGTGTGTGTGTGTGTGTGTGTGTGTGTGTGTGTGTGTGTGTGTGTGTGTGTGTGTGTGTGTGTGTGTGTGTGTGTGTGTGTGAGTGTGTGTGTGTGTGTGTGTGTGTGTGTGTGCGTGTGTGTGTGTGTGTGTGTGTGTGTGTGTGTGTGTGTGTGTGTGTGTGTGTGTGTGTGTGTGTGTGTCCATTCAAGTCTACGTCATTTTTTTCTTTACGTTCCTACCTCTTTTTGGTCTTTCTGTCTTATCTTCTTTTCCTATATCTCTTCCCTTGTCTTTTTCCCCCATCTCCCCCAAGTTTCGTGATTGTGGTGTCCCAGCCTGAGGGACAGTTACTGCGTCACCTAACCCCACTCTTCACACTCTTTTATATCAAGGATCCTCTTTTTGCCCTCCTCCCCAAAAAGCAGGCAGGTGTCGTGCCTCTCTTAGTGGCAGTTGCCATGCCTGCTCTCTACCTCTTTCCTTTGTGTCCTTGTGTAAATGTGTACCTCAACCTAGTGAAATAAAAAAAAAACCTCGGAATATGCTTGACCTTCACATCCAACAGTAGAGCCCGATAGCGCAAGCCAGCCTCGTGCTCGTTGCCCTCAACCATGCCGCAATGAAATGAAGGTTTATGTGCTTAACATTGGTCATTTCAAGCTATTCCAGAATGTCTACTGGATGCAAAACTGCCAATTGCGCACTGCACCACAGTTTTTTCCGTTTCGTAGTTCAGGAAGTAACCACAAGCTCGTCTGTAAGGTGCCACGTTAACTTGCGCAGCTGCACACCTTGTAATAGGTGGGCAGCTTGAAGCTACCTAATTAATGCGCGATTCACTAGTTTGGCACCTGGTGTGATCCTAGGATTCTGCCACCCAATTTTACATGTGTTATGGAGACTCTATCTACTACATGACATTAATATAGTGTTGTTGTTGTTTAAAAGAACGTGTCAAGCAGTGCCGTGGCTCCATAAACTGTGCGTGTCCACTAACAAGAGCATGTCGACTGGCATATGATGGCATCTGGGTAGCACAAGGTAACGTATGCTATAAGAATTTGCAAAACTCGCATGTTAGACAGACATGCGGAACCGACGGTATCTTTGCTCTTTGCAATCACATTTTGTACAAATGACTGTGCAGCTAAAATACTTATGAACAACTGCAGTTTTAGCCAGACTGGTATCTAGAATTCATGACGCGCCCTGCTCGGATACCCTTTTGAAACAGATTTGTATGGATTTTGTTCTGTAATACCTATTGTACATTTGTTGAGTTGCTCTTACATAGTTTCTATGATATATATATATATATATATATATATATATATATATATATATATATATATATATTAAAGCTCTCATTTGTTATAAATACCATGTGAGAGGAGAAAAAACCCCTGTTGCACGCAAACGGCCTGGATTAAATTCTCACTTTGAACCAAGATTTTTTATTATTTTATTTGTATACTTTTGTATTTCTTGATAACCGACAAAATTAAATTTTTCGCTTACAATCAATGGCACAGACGCAAACGACGACGCCGACACACACACCGGCGCCAGAATTTTTGCGAAACGATCCCTTTAAACTATCGTGTTAAAATACAATCTAAAGTACTAAATATGTTTGAGGTCACTTGTCACTTGTCGATCCAGAAATAAACAACCCTCCAATAGTACTAGCCGTAAATACCGGATCTGCCCTTTGACGTCACCACGGCATTGCCCTCAATTAGGCAGGAAACACTGTGCTCGTACCTCTTCAGTCATCCCTCTATTCGCTAACGTCTTTTCGCAAGAGCTACACCTCAATGCTGGCAACATTGCTTCGCAGCAAAGCGTCCGCGTACTTCGTCTCAACAGCAATGGGGGAAAACTGTTTTGTTGTAAGCCGAAATGCTTTAAACATTAAAAGCTCGTTCGGCAGCGCATTGCATCGCGACGAACTGTCGTGCGCTCCGCTGTCCAAGTTGAAATATTTTCCTCCATATTACATAATACCCGATGATCGGGGTTGTCCCTGGCCTAATATTAAGTCGCTAGGACCACGACTGGGCTTTGCGGGCAACATATACGCGAATAAATATTCAATCTCATGCGCTATTAGCCGCTCTTTTACACTACAAAAGAATTATTTCATTAATTTTTACTCTGAATATGCATGACAAACTGTCGACCTCAAGCAAAGGCACCCTGCTTGGTCGATTGACGCTGTACCTTCCATTCTGCTAAATTACTTCGAACCTTCCCGAGTGGCATTGCGTGCTCTCAGAGATACATTTTATTGGCCCGAGCCTCTCCACGCCGAACCTTTTAAACATAAATGGTGTGTTTTTCTCTGTATTATGTGTGTTTTATTTAATTTTCCTTTCTCTTTGAAACGTTTCAGCGTTATATCTCCACTTTTTCGGTGAGTTTCTTAAGCGCCATTCAAGATAACCGGGCCTATAGAAACTTAAACTATAAGAATAGAAAAAATATTTCTTTTGCGCTTTCTTGTGAGTACTCACTTACTACACATATCACTGTCTTCAAAGGGGCACGTTAACTTTCTATAGAAATAGTTACTCTCTCGTCGAAGCGTCGTAAGAGCCAAAAGAAAGTTAACCCGTATCTTTAAAAAGAAGCGCACACATGCCAATTTAGGAGCCACTTATTGGAGTAACACATAATCTTGTTTTTTTAGCATGCATGTTTATATTTGTTTTATTTTTAATGGCTTCATGCATAATTTTCAAGACCAGCAGCTACAGCATGATTGTGCTTTTGTCTCACAATACGGGTGACGTCTTCGTGAGATGTAACACCGATTTGCTAAGTAAATTAAGAGTTACCATGTGCTGCTGGTATAAAAGACTATGTAGATATATAAAAGCTTACAACTTGTCACCTTTGCGGCGTTACGTTGCAAACAGGAGAGAAAGTTAGTGTCAAAGGGTGGACCAATATCCCGATATCCCTTATACGTTCCTTCTTAATAAACTCGGCAACCTGGTCAGTGCTCGAAGTCTCCACGAGTACACAGATAGCTTAATAGTCTAGCAAACTTCCTCTGTTCGGCTTTAACTGTTTATCGCTAACTCCGTCGTTGCTTTCTTTTCACCTCTTCTCAGGTGGAGGCGGCCATCCAACAGACTGGTTTCAAGAGGGTCAAACGCGGCTACACAGAGCTCAAGCTCGGGTCCGAAAACCTGAGGCTTCAACGAGAGCCCACAGACCCTTACTTCCCGTACCAGTGGTACTTGGTAAGTAGAACCCACACTGTTCCAGTAATAATTTATGCAAGCGAGCGCTCAATCTGAGCAACTAGCGGAGTTACGTTGGGGGAAAACTTAAGACGCAAGTGTGGTGGGGAAGCGCTGGGCGAACTGTGACCTGGGCTTTCGAAGGCTGATGGCACGCATGAATAGAGCAATATGATCCTAGTATTTATGATTTGTACTTACTACTAACTAACAATTAAAGAAACAAGTACCTCCTCCAATCCTCACACAAGCACACTTCTCCAACCGGACGCTGTAATATCAGGCTTCTTGTTCGAGCAGGTTGGTACCAGTTCATTACTGAGAAAAAAGTTTGGCTTGAAATAAACGAGAATTCCCAACATAAAATGATACGATCGGCGCCAGCTTGCAACTAGTTTTAGTTCGCAGTGAAAGAAGCTTTTATAGCAAACCACACCACATGCTGATGTGCGCACGCATCACTCGTTTATTTTACGACAAAAAAATGTCATCAGTAATGACACTGCCATATCAGCTCATTCCGCGTGTTTTCTAGTTCTCTATTATAAAATTTCCAGCTTTCATTTTCAACTACTTGGTGCGTTCTCTACGTTGCAGTTTTTTTTTGTTGTTGTTTATCCCCGGCAGATATGCATCGACTCATTAATCGCCCCGCCCCACTTTCCCGCTTTGTAGTTTAGTGGCTTCTCCGCATAAAACGTTACACTGCACAGAGCACGCTTTACAGGGTTAAAAGTTGTGTGAAATGAAGTGGGTTGTTTTTGCAACATAACAGCTTGCTGAGCACGAGCGCACAAACAACATATATATATATATATATATATAAATATATATATATATATATATATATATATATATATATATATATATATAATATATATATATATATATATATATATATATATAGGGATTATAGGAAGTATCACGCAGGCTCTGATAGTATAGAAAAAGGAGTAATTCACACACAACGAACGTTTCAGCACAGTTTAGTCCGACGTTTCGACCGTGGGACCGGTCTTCGTCTGGGAATACAGGGCATAAAATTCGCGCGCTTATATATGTCAATATTCGAGACCCCCCCAAAAAAACACACATGCTCTTGTGTAATGAACAAGGCTCATCTGTATCAGCACAAAAACGGTTTTCAGTGATCAAAAATATATATATCTATACAGCACTGTGTGATGTCACCATTTGTAAGTCATTGGCAGCTGATACGGCTTTGCGGGATACACGTGTGCATCGCGACATTACGGATGTCAAAGCTCTTTTCTTACAATAATGGTTCGCGTGTAAGATATACGCGTTGCCGATGATAAATAATTCTATTATATATATGTAAGAATCGCTGTTTCTGTATACATTATCAGCACAGCGCACTCTCTGATAAAGAAGCAGACTAGCGTACACTTGTTATATTGTTGACCAATAAGCTTACGTGGAAGGAAGACACGTCAATGTGCCTGCATCCTCATTGATACCATCTGCTACAGTATTGAACTTGAATATCAGGTATGATTCCCGGAGTTCACGATCATGGTTTGAGCGGAAACCAGATTCAAGAATGGTCGCTTTCATTTGATCGAAAGAGTGGCCCGGCATGCGAACGTGTCGTGATAGCGGTAGATGAGGGAATATATTTACATGGGATTTGTGGTTATTAAAGCGTATTCTGAATGGAGTTTCAGTATGACCAATATATTGTTTCAAACAGGCACTACATTCCAACATGTATACGGCATTATAAGTGTCGCAGTCGAAGCTACCACGAATCTTTAATTTAAAGTCCGAAGACGTGCTCGCGGCGTTTTGCGTGGTTTGCATGTGCACACACACTTTGCACCGTGGTTTGTTACAAGGTGCACAGCCACTCTCTTTACGGGTACCAATTTTAGATGACGTTAACATGTCGTGAAGGTTTTTGACCGTCGGTAAACAACACGAGGCGGAACAGAAAAAATTTTTTGAGATTATCACTTTCGGTTAAGATGTTGTGGTGCCGTTTCAATATAGCAGATACTTTAGGAGCTGATGATGAAAATGTCAGAACAAGGTTAGTTTGAGCAGAGCTATCGTTCCCGTCCTTTCCTTTCAGAATCTCGGTGCGGTTGAGTTGGTCAGCTCGAGTTATGGCATCGTCTATTAGTTTTTCCGGGTATTTTCTTTTACTAGAGAACTTTTGAGCCTATTACAATTTTCAATGAAATCTGTACGGTCAGAGCACAACCGTTTAAAGCGGTGAGCCTGGCTATAGGGAATTCCTGTTTTGCAATGCCGGGGGTGGCTACTCTGAAAATGCAGGAGTTGATGTCGGTCAGTAGGCTTGCGGAACAGCTTCGTAGCAAGTTGTCCTTCGGAAATGGTGACTGTGACATCGAGAAAATTTACAGAAGTGCGCGAAAATTGGTGCGAGAACTTAATAGACGGATGGAAATTATTAAACTTTTGAATGAAACCAAGCAGACTTGCTTCATCGTGTGTCCAGACAAGAAAAATATCGTCAATGAAGCGCCTATAGTAGAGAGGTTGAGGCATGTTTTTACCTAAAAATTCGCATTCCAGAATGCCCATAAAAATGTTAGCGTAGTTAGGGCCTACTTTCGTACCCATTGAGGTGCCGTTGGCTTGTACATAGTGAATGTTGTTAAACTCAAAATTGTTTAATTCAAGGATAAGTTTCAAAAGAGTACCAAGCGCTTCTTTATCAATAGGTTTATCTAAAGGGGAATTTTCATAGGCCTTTATTACTGCAGAAATACCATCTTTATGCGGTATGTTGGTGTATAGTGATGCTACGTCCAGCGTTACTAACATTGAACCAGATGGAACATGAAGATCTACAATTTCTTGAAGGAAATGGTTGGTGTCTTTGATGAATGACGGAAATGTGGCTGGAATCTTGTTTATGAGGGAGTCAACGTAACGAGATAAATTTTCGGTAACGGTGCCGATTCCGGAAATGATGGGGCGGCCGGGATTATTCTGCTTGTGAATTTTAGGAAGCATATATATTTTTTGGGGGGGTCTCGAATATTGACATATATAAGCGCGCGAATTTTATGCCCTGTATTCCCAGACGAAGACCGGTCCCACGGTCGAAACGTCGGACTAAACTGTGCTGAAACGTTCGTTGTGTGTGAATTACTCCTTTTTCTATACTATCAGAGCCTGCGTGATACTTCCTATAATCCCTTCTACTTACCCGCAATGGCTCTTGTCACGACAACGTCAAAGCACATCATTTTAAAGTATCCCCAAGAAGAAATTTCTACAGTCGTCATTGGTGATTCTCAGACCAAGTACGTCCACCAGCATTTCGACCCATGTTCAAGAGGGACTCCCGCTTTCATCTCTCAAGTGGGTGCGCATATCTCCGACGTGCGGTCTTTACTTCACTTTGTGCCAGAATCCGCAACCGCCCTCGTTCTCCACATTGGTACCAACGACATCGCTTCAACAAGTGCTGCTGTAGCATTCAGAAGATACCGATCCCTGCTGGAGCACGTTATGAACGCCAAGCCTCACATTTCAAGGATTTACGCAACACTCGTTCTTCCACGCTGCCCTAACCGCCGTAATGGCAACGGCAACCTTTCATTTGTTTACCGGTGCAATATGGAAGCCACGTACTTCAACCGACTGCTGCACAACTACTGTAGGCGCTCCAAGAAAGTTTTTTTCGTCGATCATGGTCTCCACTGGCTGCCCCTGACACGTGTGTTGGCAGCTGATGGTCTTCATCTAAGCTTCGAAGGTGTTGCCATCATCGCCAGCCACATTCGCGAACTCTGCTGCAAACGTTTCCTAGGAACTACATCATCATGGCGTGACTGCCCACCTTGCGAACCCCCAGAACGATCTACGCCGACGTCCCCCAGGAGACGCCAACAAACGTCCCCTGCGGGTGCTACACACAACTCCGGTTCTTCAAGCCAAGACACAACTCGGCAAAACCGAACTGAGGCTCCCGCCACCACGGGTCATCGCTACCCTACCCGCCGGAACGCCGGTCGAGGGAGTGCCACCGACTGACGGCAGGCGCCTGCGCTTAAAGGCAATGTTTCAAGTCTTCCTTCGCGAGAGTTTTTAGAAGCTAGGAAAATTATTGAGAAAAGGGTTCGTTCCGAGCTACACGTATTCTCACTTACGAGCTACTTGAATGCTTCGGTGGTCCCGAAAGGTTTACAGATAAGATTTAAACCAGCTACTTCTGAACTTTCGGCCTCTAACAAAACCAAATGGCAAGAAGTGTTAAGTAAAGCGTCCTTAGATCTCATACCCATAATTATTGACCATTATAAATCTTGCACGCAAGACCTTCAGCATACAGAAGCTCGCCTGTTAAAGAAGCTAGCAGTGCATGAGTCTGAATGTTTAATTGCCTATGAAGAACGTAAGAGGAACAAGTTAAACACAACTAAACAGAAGAAGTTTCTACGTGATGGTTTATGTACGCACGAACGCAAATTTGAGGTGACCAAACGCGCCGCAACACGTTCGAATGATTCGAAAGACCAGTCTTCTCAAATAGATAGCAGCGTTGTAAACCTTTCAAACATAGTTCTTTCCAACGAACAAATGGGTGCTCTGTCAAAGGGCCTCAACTTTTGCCCCGCTTCAGGTGGCTTCAACGAGTTTCAACTTCTGAAGGATCTACACAACTTTTCCCGTAATATGCGTCTGAGAGAATACTATCATGACCGCCGAAGCCCGAATGAAACCAGACCTGCACTACCGACATATAAACAATGGACACCCCCACCACATCGCGACAGATGTCTTGACATTTACATAAACGCTGTACAACGCGACATTTTCGCTGCCTATAAGAAAACTGCGCCTTACCGCCACAATTTGTCCAAAAAAGAGAAGGTTGCTCTCGAACAGTTGTCGACAAACCATGACATCGTCATCAAACCAGCCGATAAAGGGGGGGCCATTGTAATTCTCAACGCGGTTGATTATATAAGCGAGGCCGAGAGGCAACTTTCAGATGCCAC